CGAAAATGTCTTCCACGAGTGGCGCGTCTCAGATTCATTCATGGAGAAAAGAAAAGAAGACTGCAAGCTGTGGAATTACTCCTTCAGCTGCCTTCTTTGACGAGGGCGAAGTAGCCATGCCGCTTCCCCTGCAAGACAAGGCACTAGTCACTAGTCACTAGTCACTGCTTCCTCGGGAACTCGTTTCAGATACCTGCAAGCTACGACACCACAGAGGTTTCCGTCCACTGTTCTGTTTCCTTTAGTAGCTTTGGTGGTCTTCTTTTTCCTTCCTTCCAGCATGCCATCGCTGACGACGCTGCTTTAAATTTGGGCGCTACAACGTCCAGCAATGGCCGGGTCACGGCACAAGGCACCCAGAGACTCCAAAACCCCTNNACCTTAAATCTCACTAGGGTTCCTATTATAATTTAAGGCATATTCCTTAATTATGGGGTTTTAGAGTCTCTGGGCAAGATGCAAGCGTGTTGCAGCAGGGCCTGAACCCAGGTGCCGTAGCCACACCTTGGAGCACTTGGCAACGTATTGCCGGTACCCATCACCCATCAAAACAGTCCTAGTTCGAGATCGACAGCGGGTGGACTCGCTTGATGTGCTGCTCTGCATGTGCCTGGTTCCTCCCAGCGAGAGACAATAAAGGCCTTTCGAGTGACTTCCCTGTGCATCTGAGGCACTGCTCGACGCCATTCATGGTGCTCGCCCACATGCCAGGCCCGTCGGCAACACCGTCCTCGGCGGCACCCCAGAGTGTACCCAGGGAAAGGCTCGCAGAGGTCTCTATTTGATCACAAAATGTTCGGGCATAAACTTGGCACGGAAACTCGCCTCCAGACATTTTCGCCGCCCAAACCACACACCACACCATCAACACATCCCGAGCCGAACCTGCAAGTGCTCCCAACAAAAGCGCCAGTTGCAGGGGTGTCCGAGTTGTGCGGCCGCGCGACGAGCCACACAGAGCAAGCCTGCATGAAGCCTTCGTGGTGCTCCAGAACACCTGGACTGGGTCTGAGACTCTTGTTGGGTCTTCATGCTGAGGGCCGAGGGCAAATCGGGCCCAAATGAATGCCAAGGAAAAAAACTCCGTGCAGCATGAATCTGCCGGGCGGCCCCAACCATGCGGCGTGTGCGCACCCTTCCTCGGAAATGGGCATAAGAGAAACCGTCTCCAGAACCCTTCCCTATCAGCGTCCGGGCAGCCGAGGAAGGAGGAGATCCTTCAGAATCAAACTCACTTCGCACGACGACGTCGAGGTGCGTGTTGGTTTTCCAGACGGGTCGGTTTGGCGGAGTCGAAAACCAGCACATCTGACGATGTTCAAGATGAGGACGAAAGTCTGTACGAGGCCGGATGCTGGGTTTCTAGGAAGAACAGCATCAGTGAGCCCACAAGTTCCAGATATGCGGCGCTTCACGTGTGTAAGTTAGCAAGTTCCTGGAGCTAAGGCATCTCATTGACATCGAGCACGAACCGGTATACCTCCCTCTTGTCTGTGTTGTTCTTGCTCAACAACCCACTTCCAACCACCCAACTTTTCGGAAAGGTAAGCGTGCACGGCAGTTTGGGTTTCTCACACGACAACCTGTCGTACCTCTTGAAGTGCTGACGGTATTGACAATGCTGGCATTGGCGGCGGCGGTCCACTGGACGGCCCCTGTCGAACACCATCTTCGTGCACAACCGGAGCAGAAAAGACACGAGAAACACAGACCCACCCCGAGCGAAAGTCCGTATCACGCGCTGGGGTCCACGGCTCCCGCCTTGACCCAAAAAGGTTATAATTCCCACGAAACTTTTGGCCGCGGCCCTACGACAACGGAGGTATAAAATGTGCTAGCACACACACACACAGACACTCACAAAACAAATAGATCGGTGGATGGATGGATGGCTGGATGGATGGATGGTTTGATACATAGAGAGAGAAAGAGAGAAAACATGTAGAAAAGCGCAACCTCTAAATACATGTGGGCTCGAACTCCGCAGCAGCGCGGATTGCGAAAGCCCCCAGAACTCCTTAGTATAGCCCTGTGGGGAAATGGAGTTCGCCAAGTGCCGGAATATTGAGTGGCAAGGCCCCGCTGTTGACATTAAGACGCAGGCTAGTCTGATTGACAACGTCCAGGCCACAATCCAAGAGGATGTTCTTCCTGACGATGTGCTTAAGCAGCACATCCTTGAAGTTATGTCAATGCTGATTGCCTATGGTGCTATTTCGCTTCGGGCTCTTCGGAAGTTCTTGCAGCTTCGCTTGAATGTCAGCTTGATGGAGAGACGTTCCGACATCCGCAGGTTGGCGATGATCGTTGCTGATGAGCTTTCTTCTGACAGCCAGCAAGCTGCCGCTTATGCACCTGTTTGGGAGGCTCTGTCCGTGCAGACAAGCCTCGGAACAACGCTGGCACCGCACTGCATTGGGGCACCGGGCAATGGGGATCGGGGCCGATGTTTGTTCTCGTTTCTGAGTGATGTTGCGGATGCTTTCGGCCATGCTGAAGATGAGCTTCACCCAAGTCGGTGGCATGATGGCCCATGTGGGAAGACATGCTACGCCCAGTCAGGAAACGGGTGTTGGGAGCTATTCTGCCTTGAACACGGTTTGCAGCCCGATGGACAGCTGCCTCCGGACCAGGCGGCTGATTACAGTGATGAGGCCTTGATTACCTCTCCCAAGGTATCTGGTGAAATTCCACCGGTGCCACATGGTGTGATGGCGGATCTTAGTGCCATGGTCGTGGATGATGTGTGTACCGGGATCAGCCGGCAGCCTTTCCCTACAGAGCTTTTCTTTGCAGGGATGGAGGATGCCGCGAACAGCTTCGGTCGTGGATGTTATGCGATGCGGTCGAAGTTCGTTGACCCAGACCCGCCTGCCGACAACCACGCAAGGCTTCAACCTGGACAGGTGCGTTCAGGCTGGATGTCGCCTTTCCACTTTGATGAACTACATCCCGGTTGCGGGTAAGCTTCGCTTGATGTAGTTTTTTTTTGTTTTGCGGCGGGATGTAACACTGTGACATACGGCTTTTCCAGTTCACTGGCCGGTTTATGGTTGCGTGTTTTCCCTCCCGGCTCCAGTTGCGCAGATTTCTGCGCCGCAGCTGTCAAACACGTTGCGAGTGCACACTGCCCAGGGAGCGAGCTCGAGCTTAAATAAGTGCACCCAACATGGGCTGCATCGCACCGACTCTTTGCCCGAAAGACGTGAAAGACGTGATGTATGTATGTATGTATGTATGTATGTATGTATGTATGTATGTACGTGCGTACGTACGTATGTATGTATGTGCAGATGCATGGATGTATATGCATAACTGCATGTGCATGCACATGTGCATGCGCATGTGTAGGTGTGTATGTGTATTGTGTGCATATGTGTCTATGTGCATATGTGTATGTATGTGTGTATATATATATATATGTGACTATATGTGTGTGTGTGTGTGCGCGTATATGTACAGAGGGACAGCGAGACGAGACAGAGCGAGAGCGAGAGCGAGAGCGAGAGAGAGCTTGCAAATTTTATCGTATTCGAAGCAGAGGTTCGGAGTGCCGTGGGTCAGCCCAGTGAAGGTCTGATCCTTGCCCCAGGGCACCAGCTCGGTGAAGAGAGCATCTGCGAACTCTTCGCCTGCTTTTGGTGCAGGAATCGAGTTGCCCCTGAAGCTTTGTAAAATTTTGTAGATGCTGAACCTTGAAACTCTGATCTGACACCCCAAACCTCAAAACCAAGATCTTGAACTCCGGCGCCGCTTTGAGTTTGAGGCGCCCTGTGCAAAGCCACGAGTGCGCAGAGCCAACAGCGGCCTTCGTAGAACTTGTCGAAGCGTTCGTAAGGCTGACAGCGCATCTGCCTTTTAACTGCTGACACAAGAGCAAAGTGGGATGGTGATGGTGATGTTGGTGTGGAGGGCGGGAGGAGGAGGAGGAGGAGCAGGAGCAGGAGCAGGAGCAGGAGCACGAGGAGTAGGAGGAGGGAGCATCATCATCGTCACCATCACCATCATCATCATCACCACCACCACCATCATCACCAATGCGGATTATAACCATGTGGGTGGTAGTGCTGGTGCTGATGGCGCTATTGTACGTAGAGGCGTTGGCCGTCGTCCTTTTGATGTGAGAGAAAGGGTCTTGGAGGGAATTGAAGTCCTGATTATTGGAACAGACGTTGGCCACCGCCAAAAAAAAAACGAGACAAAATAACATCCTCCGGAGATCCGTCCTGCCCGTGGAATGTCGCACTACTGCAGCCAAGACTGTATGGAAGCCTGAATGATGCAGTTGCATTTGGGCATTGTGGGCAGGTGTGGCTGCAGGCTTCCGGGCAAAGGGATCTGGGTGGGCTGAAGCCGAGATGCCGGTCCAGGGACGCTTTGATTTCCTGCCACACGCAACTTCCAGCTTCAAGGCTCCAAGCCAGCTTCGCTTCATTTTGAGGGGAGAACCACACACGAAGACCAAAAATCTTGACCGAGTCGCTCGCAAGGGATCCTCCTTTGGCTTGGCGGCATCATCGGCCATGAGGATCGCTGCAGTCAAGAAAAGGGTCAGCTGTTAACGAAAATGTTCAAACTTGAACTGACATCAAACACAGATGCTAAGGGATGCAAACCTCGAACAAGTCCCAATGCGACACCTGTACATGATGTTGGCACAACCTATATACAACACTGGACACATAGCGCAGCGGTGGGACAGCACAAATGTAGGTGATGTGAAAGAGCTGCGATGAGCTGCATGCTCTGCGCCCACACGACAACCACAAACAACATGGCCAAGCGATGCCACAAGCTCGTCTCTCTAAGAGGCGCTGGAAACCGCCGTTTTGCTACGAGTCTAAAGGTCCGACGAGCTTGGACCAAGGCCTTCGGCACTTGGACCAGCAGCTGCAGCCGCAGTTGCGCGGGCAGGCTAACTGCGAGGAGTCCTTGGGACGTCCTCAAAAAAGGAGGCCACGATGCCAGGCCCGAGTTCGACCCCCAAATTTCTGAGGTCGCTCGGGAAGGAACACCGCCTAGCCAAAAGGGTTCTCAAAATCGACTACAGAAGCTCCGGAGGTTGGGGAACAGGCTTTGCATAGACCGCCCTGGGCGTGCCTGCAACAGCGCAGTTTAGGTTCAAGGTTCGGGATTTGATTGAAACTTTGGGCTTTGAGGTGCGGTGACCTTCTCTACCTAGCAGGTCACTCTGCACCACAGAAATGCATGCTCTTTGGACCTTCAGGGCCCGTGAGACTCCCGATGGGAGAGACGGCAACAACCCTACTGCAGCAAAGTCTTGGTGAATAGGGTTTAGGTTTTAGGGTTTCGACTCTCACACTCGCACAAGGCAGGCAAGGCTCCACACAGAGGGCTTGGGGTTGAATCTCAGGGCCCAGAACCATTTGCCAAGGCAGGGGATGAGCACAAAGGAGCGCAAACTGAGCGCAAGGTCTGCGGGTTGAGCCCTTACTCCCCAATGTCCAAGGTGTGATGCAGGGCCCCGCAGCGATCTTTCAAAGAGCCCCTGAACCCCGAGCAGCTTTGACGTGCCTGCGTTTTTCCCCTCTGGAAAGATCCGAGTGAACCTGGAAGATCGCCCCCAAATGGGAGGCAGTTCAGAATGCAAACAGGAGCAAAAGCTCACGTGAACGAGGTCCGCGCTGTAGAAAGTTGATGAAGCCTGCCACCCCACTAGCAGATGCCGCAGGTTAAGGGCTGCAACGGGTGTGTGCAGGAAGCTGGGAAAAAGGGGGACACGAAACTGATATCAGCATTCAGCAAGCGGGGGCCACGCACCCTCGCCTGGTCGCTGTTGTCTGTGCCACGGGTCGTTCTCACAACACTCCACAAAGCTTCAATCAAGACCCTGTACGCTCGGCCTATATGGGTAGTTCTCTAAATTAGGGTACCTTGTTTTGGGGTCCTTATAATAAGGATCCTACTATTTAGGGTGCCATATTAGGGTCCCCTATTCTCGGAAACCCCCATATCTTACAACCAGCACCCTCAGCCCCAGCTCCCCAAGCGTGGAAGCGCAGCCCACACCCTCCACGTCCAAAGCGTCGAAGAGCTGATCACAGGACTCCGTGGTAACGCCGACCCTGCGGAGAAGACGAAGTCACAGCTGCAAGCGCACAGTAGAACTGATAGCAGCAGCCAGAGCTGCAGACGCAGTAGTGTCTACATGAATCTATACTGCTTCCGCTGCTGCTTCTGCTCCTAGCACTGGTGTTGCTACTGATACTGCTGAAATACTGCTACCGGCAAACATAACGGTAACGACAACAATACCGAAGGAAGAAGAATTTCAATACTGCATTCACGATCACAACCACTACCGACACCACCACCACCAC